TCAACTCCCAGAGTTCCTCAGCCAGCTTTGCTGGCTGAGGAACTCTGGGAGTTGAAGTCCACAAGTCTTAAAGTTGCCAAGGTTGGAGACCCCTGGGCTAGAAGACCTCCAGGGTCTCTTCCAGCTCTATTCTGATGGATGGATGGATGGATGGATGGATGGATGGATGGATGGAACAACATTCGTGCCCAAGGCTTCAAAATTTGTGAAGTTGTAGCATGGTTACACACATCTTCATTCAAAAGAGAGGTATCTTGAAGCTGGAACTTTTCCTTTTGGGGTTGTTGGATGAACTATTAGGAAAAAAAACTCATGGGAGATTATGTCAAGATATGATTCCTTTGGGGAGATTATTTTATCCACAAAGATGGGAAAAAATGGCACTGGCCACCATTGAAGAGTTTTTGGTGAAATCGATAGAATGAAATTGACAGACGGATAAACTGACTTCTTTATTTCGAGGAAAGACAATATTGTCGTGTATTGCTGCCTGGAAACCCTTTAGGGACATTTTGGGCAAAAATGAGATAAAATGGGTATGTGATCAGTGGTTTTGATGATTAGGCAAGATATAAATTATAGAAAGAAGAGAGCCAGGATGTAACTTCAGAGACAGAGACTATAGAGATTCTCAGTCCTCCAGGTCCTGGTTGCCTCAAAGGTGTTTTTTCAAAAGGCAACTGGACTTTCTTGTTTTTCTTTGAAGATGTTTCACTTCTCATCCAAGAAGCTTCTTCAGCTCTGACTGGATAGTGGAAAATGGAAGGATTTATACTCCTTGCAGACAGTTGGTTAAAGAGAGTGGCTAAAATTGTAATTGTACTTTTAAGAAGTACAATGAAGAATATCAGATGCTATTGCTTTATGCCCTCATATCTTGTTCTATATTTTTTCTATTCTCTTTTGGCAATTTTAGTTTTTTCTGTTATTTCTTTCTTTTTCACTTCTTCTGCTCTAATGTAGTTTGTCGAGGTTCTTACTCTTCTCAAAACTTTTAATACATTTTTTATAAACATAGGATAGAGAGATAGATACAGACACACACACACACAACCCATTGATTTGATTAAGATTTCTCACTGGTTAATTTTGCATTGGACTGCAAATCTTAGTGCATTTTAGATCACATATGTTTTCAGTTTACAACTTTTTAATCTTTACTGAGTTATTTGCACCCTGCAGTTGATTTATTGTGCTTTTAAAATATCAAATAGAGTGCTCTGGGTTTTGTACAGATAAATGAAGAACATAAATCCAAAGCAATATAACAATTATATAACATGGCATAATAAAACTAAACTGCACAATAATAATGACAACCCAGTGAAATCAAGAAAAAGATTAAAAGCAACACAATGTAAAAAAACATGGCAAAAACAGCTGCAACATAATACAGAGCCCAAAATGTTTTAGAGATATTCTTACAGTGCTGAGGGGGAATACAAGGGCCTTTGTAGATGATATGATGAAATCTTATTTATTACGTTGACCATCATAAGCCAAAGAATTAGAAAAAATAGATTAAAAAGATTAAATTAATAACAGTGGCATAAGAAATGCAAAAGCAAAAAAGCAGAAATTGAAGGGGTAATAATCAAAGAAATAATCATAGTAAAAAAAAATTGTGGATCCAAGCATTTTTAAAATTTTTCAACTTTCCTAGGGTTTTCTTTGACTGATTTTATTAAAATAAAATAAAACCTAACAAAAAAGCTAATGATCAAGAATGGAAATAGTAAAAAGGAGAGAAGAGAAAGAAAAATAGGAAATAGAAGGTCAGTAAAATAAAATATATATAAAAGGAAACAAAACTACATTAAAAAGTGACTTCTGACTCCTTTTACAACAGATAGAAACGAAACTTACAGAATAACAGAGTTGGAAGGGACCTTGGAGTTCTTCTAGTAATCTAGTCCAACCCCTACTCAAGAAGGAGACTGCTTACTATTTCAGACAAGTGACTGTCCAGTCTCTTCTTAAAAGCCTGCACTATTAGAGGCAAGTTTTCCCACAGATTACTTGTTCCCACTGATGGGAAAATTCTCTTTATTTCTAGCTAGCTTCTGTCCTTGATGGTATTGGTGAATGGTATTATTGTAGGGAAAATAGCAGGAGGAAGGTGTGTTCTGTATGTTTGCCACCTTGAGTTGTTAACCTTACCTTATCAACTTACAAACCTTATCTTTTGACCTGCAGCAGGATAATAATGCAAGTTGAACACACCTTTTTGCACATCAACACTCAACAATCTTGATATGAGGGATCCCATTCCCACTCTTAAAAGAATCAAGGTGGGCCTTCTATAATTTGACCTTTATGTCAACATTTGTCAACCCTTTGAGATAGGACAAGTCAAGAAATAGGCACCGCATGGATTCCATGCCAATTTACTGTTGTAGAACATCATACCAATAGCATCTCTGTCCCAACTTAAGTTTCATTATTTCTTGTCTTGCCTTCTGGTGTTTTGGAAAATAGGTTGACAACCTCCCTCCGTGACAGCCCCTCAAATTTTAGGCTTGGGACTCCAATGGGGGGATGGTTGACAGGCCAGTAAAAGATTCCACCTTCTCCTCTGCTCATCCTATTCCCTCCTTCCTCATCTTTTAGTTATGATTGTATATTTATCATTTTTATTATTTAGTTCCTATTGTGTATAGATTTTGTAAACATTTATCTTTTTAATATTGTAAACTGCTGAAAGTTACTGTGTGGTAAGATGGGTCAGTGAATAAATTCAATAAAATAATAAAAAATAATAATATTGCTATGCTGTCACCCCTCGTCCTTCTCTTCATTAGACCAGATACACCCAATTCCTGTATCTGTTTAGCCTCCAGCCCCCTTCTTTGTGGCTCTTCTCTGCAATCTTTCCAGTCTCAGCATCATTTTTGTACAGTGGTGTCTAGAATTTGACCCAGTATTCCAAGTATGGTCTCCCCAGTACGGTATAAAGTTGTGCTATCACTTCACGTGATCTTGAAAATATCCCTCTCTTGATGCAGCTTGGGACCGTTTTTCTGTGCAGCATTTCCCAAAGATAAAGTTAGTTGGGGATAACATAAAGAGGACTGATAAAGACATCACGGATGGAGTGAGGCATTAGCCCCATTGTTTTGCATATCTAAATCAGATACTCTGTTTAATCTTTGCCATAGCTTTGTCTCATCCAAGCATAAGCCCCTCTATTGCAGTTTTTCCTTCCAAATGAAGGGAATTTTTCAGAAACGATGAGCTAGGCCAAGGGTCTTCAAACTTGACAAGTTTAATATTTGTGGACTTCAACTCCCAGAATTCCTGAGCTAACATGACTGGAGGAGGAATTCTGGGAGTTGAAGTCCACAAGTCTTAAAGCTGTCAAGTTTGAAGACTCCTGAGCTAGACTCAGGATTCGCCCTCAAAAGCTTGTTTCAGCCAATATTTTGGATGGTAGAGTCTCATATTTGCTTCTAGTGTAGCTGCATTCCAGAGAAAATTATTTACTGCTGGAGAGGTAGGAAGGTAACTAAAATTTGAGCTGCTTGCTGTTAATGTAGATGTCACTTTGAAGGTGCAAAACGGTTGGTTGGTCAATAGCAGGCTGATCATCTCAGGTTTTTTTATAGTTCAGTTACTGCTTTTATGGAATTTTAATTCTTTGGGCTGGCAGATTTGACTGCCTTCTTAGTGGTCTTTGATGCCAGAATTGAGAGGTGGTAAATTTGATATCTTCAGGAGGTGAAAGATTGAAATAAATTTCTAGATATTTGAAGGCCTTGTTTGTCTCAATCAGGGCATTCTTATTTTTCCAGTTATACTGCTGCTGTGTTTAATGAATACAATCCACCTTCACGTAGGAATAGTTAATTTCCAACTTTTCATTTTAGTGACATAGGAATAAACAAGATGGAAATTGTTTTGTAAACCAAAATTGGGGAAGTGGAATGGAAGTCCTATTTGGTGAGAACTCGGGCAATTTCAAGAAGGGGGTTGAAGGAAACTTGAGAAAGAAACTAAACTTAACCCTCCCTTAAGTTAACAGAATAACAGAGTTGGGAGGGACCTTGGAGGTCTTCTAGTCCACCCCCCTGTTCAAACAGATGACCCCATCTCATTTCAGTCAAATGGCTGTCCAGTCTCTTCTTCAAAACCTCTAGTGTTGGAGCACCCACAACTTCTGAAAGCAAGTCGTTCCACTGGTTAATTGTTCTAACTGTTAGGAAGTTTCTCCTTAATCCCAGGTTGCTTCTCTCCTTGATCAGTTTCCATCCGTTGCTTCTTGTTCTGTCTTCTGGTGCCTGGGAGAAAAGGTTGATTCCCCTCTTCTCTGTAGCAGCATTTCAAATATTGGAACACTGCTCTCATTTCACCCCAATCCCCTTTTCCATTAAACTGGATTTTTAAGTTGGGTTAGAGAGAAACTTGGACAGGCTTTCAGGATGTTCTTATGATGTTCCACAAGAATAAACTGGCATGGTATCCATGCAGTGCCCATTTCTTGACTTAGCCTATCTCAAAGGGTTGACAAATATTGACATAAAGGTCTAATTATGGAAAGCCCACCTTGTCTCTTTTAAGAGTGGGAATGGGATTCCTCACATCGAGAATCTGGAGTATTGATATGCAAAAAAGTATTTTCATCTTGCATCATTATCCTGCTGCAGGTCAAAATATAAGTACGGCTTCCATTTATTGAAATGTTTATCATGAAGAATGAATAGATGGAACAAGTGATACAGTTAGGGGAGATGGCAAAACTGACTTTTAATTAAAGAGAAGGATTGATTTAGTTTTGTTTCTTTTGGAAATAACTTCTGGACTTTTTGCTTGAAACAGAAAAAAAAGAAACTTTGACTTTAGGTTTTGATGAATAGATTGATTTTGTTATTGTAAAAAAAGCTTGAAATATTGAAGCTTCCAATTTCCTTTGCAACAAATATAAGATGGTTAAAAAGTTATCTCTTACTTATTCTATGATTACAAAAAGGCTTTTTCTAATTATCTGATGTAATCACAAAAATCACAAACCAGACATTCATATTTATTTATGGATTTTTTTGTTTTGTATCCCACCTTTATTATTTTTATAAATAACTCAAGGTGGTGAATATATCTAATGCTCCTTCCTCCCCCACAACAACAAAAAACCTGTGAGATGGGTTGGGCTGAGAGAGAAGGACTGGCCCAAGGTCACCCAGCTGCCTTTTATGGCTAAGGGCAGACTTGAACTTACCATCTCTCGGTTTCCTGCAAAAAGCCCACAAAGGGTTTCCAGTCCGCAACTATTGCTCCATTGTAGTAGTGCCAAAGCTGTTCATTTTTGAGCATATAACTATCTCTCTGTTGTTGACTGTATAGAAACAAAATTCCATAACTTTTTCCCCAACTATTTGGCCGTCAATTCCCAAAACATTCTGGCTGGGGAATTCTGGGAGTTGAAGTCTACCCATCTTATGTTGCCAAGGTTGAGAAATACTTTCGTAAAGTATCATGGATTGAAATGAGTGGTCTGGCTGCAGGGAGGATTGAAATAATGGATAGGGATTCATCATCAGATCTTGCTTGGTTTAGTCATCTGCCACCAAATCTTCAAGGATGTTCCAACCATTACTTGCTTGAATGTCCCAAAGGTGCTTTTTCAAGAGGCAACTGGACTGTCTTGGTTTTTTTTCCTTTGAAGACGTTTTGTTTCTCATCCAAGAAGCTTCTTCAGCTCTGAGAGAAACAAGGAAGTCCAGTTGCCTCTTGAAAATGCATTTTTGGTCAACCATGACCTGGATGGCTGAGAATCTCCATAGACTACTAGCTTGAATAAAAACTTGGAGGCAAGGGAAAAGTAAGTATTGATTAGCAAAATATTTCATGCTCCATATTTCAGTTTTGTGGCTAATGATACAGAACTCCAAGCAGTAGGTTTAATAAGTGGTCATGCAAGGGGTCAGACATTAGAACATGGGCACCTGTCTGGCTAGAATGGCTTGAAGAGAGAAAGAGATATAGGCCGTAGCTTCCTCTTCCCAGATTCGATGATTTCATACTTTCTAATGAGGGAAATAGGCAAAATTCCTCTGCTTGGCAGGCCAGCCAGGTGTGTTCAAGAGAGGAACTGAATAATGTGTGATGCAGGCAAATGTCAGTCCATGATAGATACCCTGAGAGGTGGCCCAGCATGGTCCATTAAGTTCTGAGCAGGGTTGCTCAGGCTGGCTTGGGTTAGGGGCTCTTCCATGCAGGAAGGGTTGGCTTGAGTCTCTTGGGTTGTAGGAAGCCCTCACTTGATCAGGTTGGATTCTTCTTCTGGGCAGCTAGGTCTGTTCAACCATATTCTTTAAATTGTTGATTTATTGAGAACAGAAAGGATATATTTTTGAGACACATTTTTAGTGATTTCCAGGGATTAAAGGAGAGTATGTCAACAGCAGCTTGGCCGAAGCTGGACAGATTAAGGCACAATTGTGGTGTAGATTTAGCTGAGCTTCCTTTAAACGCTCTAATCTTTGTTTCATAGCAGGTTGTGTTCTCCATAGTGCTTACATAAAGGAATTCTCTTCAAAAAATTATTCTGGGAGATCACTTGGCCTTGAGAGGGTTAATATTTCTTTAGCTAAATCTTGATTCCAGTGGCTCAAGGTTGTTGCTTACTACCTATCTTTGAAGTTAGTTCCACCCAGTTTTCACCAAACATTGTGATTTAAACATGTTTAAATATCAGTAGCTCCGGTTGGTAGTTAGGCTGTTGGTTTGAGCTGTTGGCTTGAGCTCGGCACTTGGAGCTCAAACCAACAGGCTAACTATGATTTAAGTTAGGCAGTTATGGCTTAAGGGTCAGTTGAGGGAGAAAACACCCCAAAGATTTGGGCTGGAAAGATTTGATCAAGTTTCCAGTTGTTTTTTTTTTTTTTTTTTTTCATTTTTGTTGTTTCATTTTTCATTTTAACTATGGGTAGTCCTCCACTTACGTCCATTCATTTAGTGACCATTCGAAGTTACAATGGCACTGGAAAGGTAACAATTTTCCACACTTATGACCATTGCAGCATTCCGTGGTCACATGATCAAAATCTGGATGCTTGGCAACTGGCCTGTAATATATTATGACGGTTGCAGTATTCCAAGGTCATCTAATCCCCTTTTGTGACTTTTGGAGTCAATGGGGAAGCCTTACCAGTGTTACTAGCTTGATAGTTGCAGTGGTTCACTTAACAACTATGTGAAGAAAGGTCATAAAATGGGGCAAAAGCTATTTTGCTTAACAATGGAAATGTTGAGCTCAGTTGTGGTTGTATGTCGAGGACCACCTGCCTCACAGGGATAGTTGAGGTCTTGAAGTTTTGTCTGTTTTCAAGGCAGCCGAAGAAGGAAAAATAATAATATGTGAGCCTTCTAGGATAAGGATTGGGAAATTAAGAGTTCATAGTTCCATTTTCTCCTTTACAAAGAACTGGAAGAAATCTTAGTAGATTCTGCTTTGATTTTTGCCAGAACAAATAGTTGGCAGAAGCGAATAGTTATTGTGCATCCATCTGAAGTCACCTGCCTCTCTGCCTGTTTACAAGTTGAATGACCGAAGATGAGAAATTTGACCACTGGACAACTGAGCTTCATAAATAATGGATCAAAGGCCACAAGTGTGATATTCCTGCTTTGTGGTTAATCAGTGTAACATCAAAGCTCCTGAATTTTTTTCCCTTTTTCTTGTTAAGATGTTCAGAAACGCAAGGACTCCCTAATCCAGGGATGGGCAATTATAGCAACTTTACAACCTGTGGGCTTCAACTCCCAGAATTCCTGAGCCAGCCAAGTCCATAGGTCATAAAGTTGCCCTAGTTGCCCACCGCTGCCCTAACTCACTAAAAGTCAATAATAGGACTAGTTGTGCAGCTGTCAGTGTGGGAAGAAAAGGTACAGGCAGTCCTCGACTTACAACCACTATTGAGCCCAACATTTGTGTTGTTTTGCCCCATTTTACAACTTTGCTTGCCACAATTGTTAAGTGAATCACTGCAGTTGTTAACTTAGTAACACCGTTGTTAAATGAATCTGGCTTCCCCATTGACTTTGCTCATCAGGTCACAGAATGTGATCACGTGACCCCAGGACACGGCCTGTTGTGATGAACCTGTTGCCAAGCATCTGAATTTTGATCATGTGACCACAGGGATGCTACAACAGTTGTAAGTGTGAAAAACAGCCATAAGTAAGTTTTTCCGGTGCCGTTGCAACTTTGAACAGTTAGTAAATAACCGTTGCAAGTCGAGGAAAACCCGTACTATCAGACTTAACACATTCTATTAATGTAGGGTTACAATACAATAGAATTAGTTCTATTCACATTTCTGCCTGGTCTGTCTATAAGGTTGCCATCAATCTTGCAAGTCTGAAAGTACTTTTCTCCCTCTGTCCACCCAAAAACTAGCCAGGGTCTCTTCTGACTCTTGCTCCACCCACACGCCTACTGTGGGCTCAGCTGCCTTTTATGTAACCATTCCCTGGCTGCGTTTCTTTGCCTGGTCTCCCAAGGTTATTCCAACATACCATTGTAGGGTCTTCTAAAGCAGGAATTCTCAACCTTGGTTGCTTTAAGATGCATAGACTTCAACTCCCAGCATGCCCCAGCCACAACACTGGCTGAGGAATTCTGGGAGTTGACGTCCATGTGTCTTAAAGTGGCCACGGTTGAGAAACCCAGTTCTAAAGAATTGCAAGTTTTCTGTGTATTGTCTTGATGCTCTTTTTCTTTTCTTCCCCATTCCCTTCCCTTTTTTTTTCTTTTAGAATTCCCATGATGCTTTGGTCAAAAGATACGAAAGAGGCCATGAAGTCATTGGTCTTCACTTAGCGATGCAAGCCAGAATGGCTGCCCTAGAAGCTGCAGGCATCGTTGAGAATCCCAGGGCCAAGTCTCTCTTGGTCAAAGATGGAAAAGAGTCCCAGGAGGAAAATGGGGCAGCCAGCCACCTCTCCGAACCCTGTGGTGCTTCCTTCGCTGGGGCAGAGCCCAGTCGGCAACAGGCGCCGGCCAGCAAGCTGAAGAAGACAGCGTTTAAATTCTTTGGGGGGAAGAGAAGCATCTGCACCCTACCAAGCTTTTTTGGGGGCAAGAATAAAAGCCAGGCCAAGGGAGCCTCCAAAAAGGGTCTCAGCAAGAGCAAGACTCACGACGGCATCAGTGACGTGGTGCACGAAGAGGCCAGTTCTGGTTGTCTCAGGAGTCCCTCGGATGGAGGGCCAGACTTCCCTTCTCCCCAGCTGCTGCCAAGTTCTCAGAGTGCTGTTTTGGGAGCCGAGCTCAAAGTTGGCTTCACCCAGACCACAAACTTTCTCTCCAGCAGATCTGAAGGCTTTGAAAAGAAGCTGACAGGGGAGAAGTCCTTGTTCCTGCCGAGATCCAAAAAGGGGCTGAAGGAGCTTTTTAACAGCATTCGCCATCATCGGAAGAACAAAGTTGCTGAACCTGAGAAGACAGAGCTGCAAGAATGGGCTCTCAGGGACACCGTGACCGAAGAACAGCCACGTGGAAATGGGCTGGGTGGGAATCCTCAGAGTGGGACTGTGACGCCAGAATGTGCGGAGAATTTCTCCGGTGATGCGGTGCCTTCAATAGACGACCATAATGAGGCAGGAGAGGTGGACTGCTTGGCCTCAAGCCCAGTTAGGTCCATTGGTGAGACAGATAGAGGAACAGCGTGTTCTGAAGAATCTCGAGATGGGCAGCCCAACCTGGAGGACGTCTGTGCTGACTCTGCCTACGGTGACCTCCCTGATGCATTTGAACCAGAGTTCCTGGAGAAGAGCCCTCCTTGCGTACCCTCCGGGGAGCAACTTAGCTTGATGTTTGGGGAGGTGACATCCCTTAAAAGCTTTGACTCCTTCACCGGTTGTGGAGATATCATTGCAGAACCGGATATTGATAGCATCACGGAGAGCTCAACATCTGTGGAACGCAGCCGGGATGCGACCAAGAGGACCTCTTGTTTGGTTACTTACCAAGGTGGAGGGGAGGAAATGGCCCTGCCGGATGATTTAGAAGAGTACCTCCAGCAGGTGTGGGCAGGAGCCATTAAAGGAGATGCAGTCCCCGAAGCACATCTGCCAGAGCTCATACCCAAATGTGACCTTCAGGGCATGAATGGTGCCAAGCAAGAAGTTAATCTATACCCTGAAGGAACAAGGAATGATCTAGACCTTCTGACACCACATAGCGATCAACAAGAATCTGCTCCCAATAGTGATGAGGGCTACTACGATTCTATCACCCCAGGTCCTGAAGATGAAGCTGGTGATGATTTAGATGAAATAAAAAAGGACCGCCTTCCAAGGGACAGCTACAGCGGAGATGCCCTTTATGAGTTCTATGAACCAGACGATGCACTAATGAGCCCATCTTGTGGAGATGGATCCTGGTTTGATGGGAAAGTGTCTCCTTCGAAGATATTTGACCAGTTTTTAGACTTTGCTCTCCCCGATGAGAAGGACTTGATCTGGCTGATGGATCAGAAAAGTGAGGCAATGGAAACGGAAGAGCAGAGGCTGGCAACCCTACAGAAACAGCTGCTTTTTTGGGAGATGCAAAGAGAGCCGGCCCTGAAACACATCCAGGAGCTTAGAAGAGACCAACACCTGAGACCAGGGCAGCTGTCTGAATGTAAAATGCAAACAACTAGCTTAGTTGGGAAGAGCTCGAGTTGCCATGGTTGTGAGCAAATGAATTTTTGTGCTTTGAATGATAGTCTAAGCGGTGGAAAGAAGCTAGCAGAAAACCAAGACTGGGAAGATGATTTCCACAGGAAGCTCTGTCCAGAAAAGCTTTGTGATAGTAGCAGCACCACCACTAAAGCACACAACAGTTGCCTTATTCAGCCATTAGGGAATGGCTCAGAGTTGGGCTCCAGCGGTGAACATCCAGTGCTTGATTCCCGTGCTTTGGCTTCGGGAAACTCTGTGACCTTCCCTCTCTACAGAGTGCATGGCCACCACAGCTGCTCTCCAGGAGCTGACTCCCAAGAGCCCTGCCAGGAACACAGTGAAGAACCAGAACAAGCCGTGAACTTCTCACAAGCCTTGGTGGAATTCACCAGCAACGGTACTCTTTTCGCTAGCCTGTCCGAAAGTCTTAGAAGCTCCGATTCAGGCTCTGAGTTCACTCAGAACCTTCCTGACCTCCCCACAATGGTGACTTTTGACATCGTCGATGTGGAACAGGAAGGGGAAGGGGAATGTGAGGAGCATCTGGAGATGAACACAGACGAGGACATGACCGCGTCCTTCGAGGCTTTCAGGGACACTTATGACTCCAAAGCCTCCTTTGCTGAATGTGATGACCGAATGTTTCCCGAGTATCCTCAGATCTCTTTTCACTGGGGAGCTGCCAGCCTTCCTCGGCATCTTCGACTTCAGGAGCTGAGTCCACCTCTGCTGGAGCCGCTGTCTGCCTGCAGGAGAAGCCGATCCCTTGATACCAAAAGTCTGGAGTTTGAGCTGGCAAACTTGCAGCTATCCAAGAAGAGTTTTAGGCCGTTTGAGCTCTGGAGCAGTTCCAAAAAGGATCCTGGTCCTCTTGGATTGGACAATGGCCAGGAAGATGTGCCACATTCTCTAGGAGAAAGAGAAGAAGCTATTGGTGGCTTCTCGTGGCCAGGACGATTGAATGTACCGCATGGCATGGAGGAATTGTCCTTGCAAGAAACAAAAACGGGAGAGAATGGTGGGAATACACTCCCCTCTCAAAGTCCTTGGGGAGTATTGGAGCACTCTGACATGGCTCCTCCTTTGGCTCGTCTGGGGCAGAATCCCACCCAGGAACCAGCTGGACACCTTCAAGGAGATAGAAGCAACCACCCCGTCCTTCCACCATTGAGACCATTGACCAGGCCCTCCACTCTGTTTCTGCAGGCCCCTGTGATGTCACCAGAGGGCTCTACTCCTCAGAGGCCTGGTGGGAACAATCTGTCTAAAAAACATGCTTGGGTTCTCCCTTTGGGAGAGAACGGTCTAGACTTGCCTTTGCGCTTTGATTTTCCTTGCTCCCCTGACAAGCCGTCCGTGTGTAAGCCTGGGGATGTGGCTCAGGGAACATCTCAGCTTCACACCAAGCAGTGCTGAGACCACCTCTAGGGGCAAGACTGAACACTGAGGAATGTTCTCTAGACCCAGAACATTGGGGAAGCACTTCCTGCCAGCTAGCTAGTCTATGAACTTAACTAGACGAGTAGCTTTTGTGAATAGGGCTCCAGCTGAATTGGAATGGGCTTTTGTTCCGGTGAGCTGTGAGAATACAGAAGATACTGCAGACTGTTGACTTTGGTTTGAAGCTAGGAGAACTGGGTGAAATGGTGCTGATGTTTCTCCTTAAACAGACGTGTGTGGGTAGAGGGAACTTCTCTTTTGATCCACAAAATGATACGGGAAAGAACAGGGACAGTCTCAGAAGTGGAGATGGGAATAAAGTCCTGGATTATTTCCAGTTGCACCATCATGGGAAGAGGAGCGGAAATAATTTCTAAAAGTCAACTAGGTGACCAAAGTTAGGTGGTGTGTTTTAGAGGAGCAAAACGCTCAAAAGACCTTCCAAAATGAGAGGTTTACTTATGGTGAAACTCGTTAACTCCTAGTTTTTGAGGGCAAGCGTGCTTGGAAGTCCACCTGCTAAGCTGCTTTTATTCCAGGAGATGCCTGTAGAAGGGAATGCAGATAGAGAGGTGCTGGCATGCTTACCTGTTTTGGTCCAGAACCTCCAGAGTGGGTGGGGGCAATTTTCTCTCTCTTTTTTAGTTGGGAGGGAAGTTTAGGGACAGAATTAGTGCCTTAAGCCTTCCAAAGGCTTAGCACCCGTTTTTTATTCCCCCCCCCCCAGAACTGGTCTTGGCCTGGGCCATGGTTGGAATGTGGCCTTTGACAAAGGGCACAAGGTCTTGGATAGCCTTGAGCCAACGGGAGTCTGGCACTCGTGATATATAGGACCGCAGCTGTGCAGCATATCAGCAGCGCTTCCCAACCTTGGCAAATGGAAGGGGAGAGGATTTCAGTTCCCAGAATTCTCAGCAATGGCTACGTGGCTATGGGATTCTGGAACTTGAAGTCAATACACCCAGAAATGGCCCAGGTTTGAAAACCCTGCATTAGGGTGTGCTTGCTCAATTCAGTTGGGCCTTCTGTGGTTCTCTTGGGGCGGGCGGAGGCAGAAAACTATATGACCCGGTGCTTGTCAATGAGATTAGGCTGCAGGGATGGGATGGGCAAAATAGCAAAAAGTTGGCTGTTAGTGAAATTAGGGCAAGATGTGATTAGAGGGGAGATGAGCCAAAAAAGGCTCTGAAATATGTATTCTAGGAGGATCTTACTTGGGGCTAAGAAGACATGCATACAATTAAAAAATTAAAAACACTTATTGATACTGAAACAAAGTAATGTCAACACAGTTGAGGTCTTGCAACTTCTGAAAAAGCATATTTTAAAAGGAGGGGGAACCCGAATGCATGTGCAAAACTGCCCTTTTTTAAAGTAACGGAATTCTGTTATTTTTTTTTTATTATGGTTAAATTTTAGAGCAGTGCAGCACTTCCAGTTTGATTCCAGAAAGGAGCCTTGGCTTGCTTGTACAGTAGGTGTTGGTTTCTGTGTGTTTCTCTGTGTGTGTGTTTGTGAACCTTGTCCGTAGCGCTTTCAAGACGCTGTGCCATTTTCCAGGATCAGCTGGCCATTGCAGAATGAAGCCATCCGATCTAGAGAAAGGATGCAGTTGCTTTAATGAGCTACATCCAGACTCTGTGTGTGTGCACCAAAGTTCATTTCTGGGAATCGGATTCAAAGTGCTGCTGGGCAGAATATCTGTTGAAATCCTTTTTTTAGGAATGGCTGTTCATTGAAATATGGGATGCAGAGAAGCTTCTTAGGAAATAAAGCCTCCATCCGTTGGCCAAAGTAGACCTGGTCTCCTGAATTCCTCTCACAACTGTCTTGTACTGTATCACAACTTGTCCCTGTTGCACATAAGAAGGTTGTGTGTCCAGGGAATTGTGACATTCCAATGTGCATTTTTCATTTACACACACACACACACACAGGCTAAGCTTTTTGCTTGACCAGACGGGGAGAACTTGCTTCTCTTTCCAAGTCAGACTGGCCAGAAAATCCAGGTCTTGTGTCCCATTTGTGCATATTGCAGGGCAGGTAATATGAGGCAAAAGCTCCCAAGTCTGTCTCTTCGTTAAAGACACGGGTTCAAGATATATACTGTATATATATATCTTGGATGGAATGAGGGCTCCTTGGTGCTCTCTGAGCTTGGTTGTTTTCTTGCAGACGTTTCATGACCCAAACTAGGTAATATTATCAGTGCTAATGAAGTATAAGTAACATTGATGATTTTGCCTACTTTGGGTAAGGAAATGTCTGTAAGAAAAGCTCAGAAAACATCAAGGATGATTTGAACCACAAATATTCTTTATTAATATTTGCAGAAGTTTGTGCAGGAGAACGTCAGGGAGTGTCAGCTTTAGCAATCCATGCAACACTTTTTTCATGGTGGCGTTCAGAATTCGCAACTGAGACAAACTTTGAAAGTCTGATTAGAAGGTTTCAGAATCTTTTTTGCACAAAGATCGATGAATTTTCCCCCCCAAAAAGTTCGCAGGCAGAGCAAGAGCCGGTCCAACTTCTGCACGATGACAAATAAGTTGACAAGCTATTTGTGATGATCCCCCCTTCTTCTTCATTTGGCTGCCGGGGAGCCCTCGAATCCTGGTCCCTGAAATTAGATAGTGAGATTTTACTTTTTAAAGAAATGGGAATGAAAAACAAAATCATTGTGATAACCTTAAATGATAAGCTTGGGGCGTATCATTTAAGTTCTCCCTCTGAATAGGAGCTAGAATATTTGATGCTGTCCTCTTCTGGATGCTGCTCTGGAGAAGAAGAAAATGGGGCTCTTGGCCATAAAAATGCTGCCTCCATTTGTAGTAAATCGAGGATTTCCCATTTGGGAGTAGCCATCCCTAGAGACAGAAAAGCTGAAATCTGGTAATAAAGGGGGAACAAAGCTATTACAGGTAGTCCTTGACTTATGACCACAATGCAGCCCAAAATTTATGTTGCTAAGCGAGACAATTGTTAAGTGAGGTTTGCTTCATTTTACAACCTTGCTCGCCACAATTGTGAAGTGAATCACTGCAGTCGTTAAGTGAATCTGGCTTTCCCATTGATTTTGCTTGTTGCAAAAAGTAACCACGTGATCCTGGGACACAGCAACCGTCATAAGTGTGAGTCAGTTGCCAAGTGGCTGAATTTTGATCACATGACCACAGGGATGCTGCAATAGTTTTAAATGGGAAAAACATGTCAGTTTTTCAGTGTTATCATAACTTTAAATCAAACATTAAATCAATGGTTGTAAGTCGAGGACTACCAGCAGAGGGGAAAAGCTTGAAGTCCTGAAGTCTTGAATAAAAATAAAATAAAGGACAGGCTTTCAGTGTTTGGTGCAAACAAGCACATTGGGCAGAAAAGTCTTCTTAATAATAACAACACAGTTGGAAGGGACCTTGAGGTCTTCTAGTCCAACCCCCTGTTCAAACAGGAGACCCTATACCATTTCAGACACGTGTCTGTCCATTCCCTTCTTGAAAGCCTTCAGGGAGATCTCCCTGCCATGTTAATTTTTGGGAGTGGGGGTGTGAACTTGCAAGTTACGTCATGGCACCTTGGAAACCCTGCCTTCCCATCTCCAATGTTTGGGAATACGTTTTCCATCTGATCTCCATTTTCTCAGACTCTTCTGGTCTTGGACTTTGCTACTTCCCATCAATTTGCCATCTCCTTCTCAGGATTCCAACTTGGTGGGAAGATTTACTTGAAAATATCTGAAACCTCCCCCCAAACATTTGATGGCACATCAAACTGGGTGTGACTGAGCCCAACGGTAGCCTGTTTGTTAACGGCTTTCCTTTTGAATGGCACATCTTGGTACCCAGAGCAATACCCCCTGTTGCTTTTAGCCAATATGACCATTGGCCAGTGTTTGGATCCCGTATCCCTGACTGCAAACCTGGGTGATTCCAAGCCGAACGGCATCTCATTGACCGTGGTGTGGTGTGGTGGGGCCATCAACACTTGAAGTTCCTCCAAATGTTGCCTACCTGGAATTTCTGAAATGGGGTGGGTGGAATTGAGAGGCATGATCTGTTGAAGGGACCTCTGTTTTCAATTGCTGCAAACGATTGTGCTGCCGATAGGATGATAAAGTTCATTGTAAAGTGTTTTGTTCATGGATTGATGCTTTCGGGTATGTTGGGTTTGGTGTGGCGTGCACATAGTTCTTTCTTCCTTTTGAATATATCACCAAAGACATCTTGTGGAATTTGTTAAATGGTGTAAACACTTATCTTTTTTTGTTTGGGGGAAAGGGGTGTATCATAGGTATTCAAACTTATAAGAATGTCTGTCTACAGATATGTATTTGTTAGCCTTCGAATTGTGAATATTTATAGAAATGTTTTTTTTTCCCCTAAAGAAAACCAATTTTATAATATACTAGGGTGCTTAAGACTTTGCATCTGATCTCGTTCTAAAGGGGTTTCTGATTTCGGTGTTGTGGCCTCTGAAAACAAATGTGAATTGTTGCAAGGGAATGTTGGCTGAATTGTGAGGATGGGCAACCACGGAAGGTGGCGTAATAGAGCTGGAATGGATCTCCTCATGTTACGATCTCTCTTATAGCCTTAGTTGATCGGACATTTTTGATTTGATAACTTTCAAGGCTCAAGGAATAGAGTAAAGATGGCAATTTGCATAGCACCATACATTACACCAAAGGAAAAATTGTTCTGACAGCTAGATGGAAACTGTCTTTGATGGTTCCCTTGTAATATACTTGGTGCATGCAGAAAAACAAACGTCCATTAGCTCTTTGAGGGAGCCCAGATAACTAGCACAAGTCCAAGCACCAGCTGTATCTCTGTTGTAAGATTACATTCACAGAATCTTGCACATCTGAAAGTACAGGCTGTCCTCGACTTACGACCACAATTGAAAGCAAAATTTCTGTTTCTAAGTGAGACATTTGTTAAGTGAGTTTGGCCCATTTTATGACCTTTCTTGCCACTGTTAAATGAATCATTACAGTTGTTACATTAGTAACATGGTTGTAAAGTGAATCTAATTTCCCCAATGACATTGCTTGTCAGAAGGTCGCAAAAGGACCTCGGGACTCTGCAATGGTCCAAAATATGAATCGGATGCTAAGCACCTGAATTTTGATCACCCGGCCACAAGGATGCCACAGCAGTCATATGAACAACGGTCATGTCACATTTTTCAGTGCCGTTGTGGTTTTGAATGGTTACTAAACACACTTGTAAGTCAAGGACTACCTGTATTAACCCCCTCCTTTCCTTTTATTCTCCAGAAACTAGGGAGGGTTCCTTCTGAGATTTTTTCCATGTCCCTTTTCCTTTCGTGGACTGAGATCTCTTTTTTATGATGGTGGTCTAAGCTGCAACTCTTCTTCTGTCTCCCAAGGTCATTCACACATACTGATACAATATCAGGAGGAGGAATGAAGGAAATAAAAGTCTGCAAACCTTCCCAAACCTTCCTTGTTGCCCATCTAAAATGGTTCAGCTCAGCATTATGACCTCCTCATTCTTGGAACATTGAAATGAAAGGACGTAGGTCACAAAATCTGAGGCTTGCTCCGCTTTCTCATTTCTGGGGTGGTGGTTCATTTTTCTAAGGGTTGGTTGACCAATTCTGTAGTTGAAAGTCTACATAACACGGGAACACGCACATTTGTTTGGGACCCATGGAAGGGCTTTCCACTCATCCAAAGATGATTTGCATCAAGATAAAAGAGTTTTGTTGCAGTGGTTCCTTCAGGTTTTTAGTGTGTGCTTCCCTCAAGAAGTCATCATTGGACCAAGCAGTCCTGGACAATTTTTATCCAGTTCCTCAGCCTTCCTTGTTTAAGCTGTGGGAAATATGGTCAGGCAATAGCTTCAGAGGTTCCTGGATTATTTGGAAATGGATTATTTGAATCAGTTTCAGCTTGGAACATAGTCCAAAGATTGCATTGGTTGCACTTGGGGATAAGCTGTGATAGAACTTGGATGAGAGACATTGGAGTGTTGGTCCAATGTTCCTTGACCTCTTAGTTGATTGAGATACTGCTAATTATAGTACTTTTGGATTGGCTGTGGGGATTTGAAGTGGTGGGCACCAGATTATGATGGTTTTCTTGTTCTGGTGGCTTCTACATGGCATTAACAGAGATCAAGTCTTTGGCCTGTCATCCTGTGGGTGCTCTGGGGCTTTTGCCCCTTTTGTTTCAACAACTACATCAGGGGTCTCCAAACTTGCCCACAAAGACTTGTGGACTTCACCTTGTGGAAGTTTGAAGACCCCTGATCTACACAGAACCACTGGCTGAACCCATCCATTGGTTTGATGTCCACACTCATCAGTTTGCTGATGGTACCAAACTGTACACCTTGACCCAACTCTTCCAACAGATGCTGCTCAATGTTCTTTTCCGATGTCTTGAGTCTGGGTAGGTCTGAATGCAAAGGAACAGACTCGGGCTCAATTCTGACAACACTTGAACTAGTTCTAGATGTTTGTCCATCCCCCCCTTGTCCGGAGGACTTTCCGACTCTTTGGATTTATTTATTTATTTATTTAAATTGATTTATATGGCTGCCCAGCTGACAGATGCAGTTCTGAGTGACTGACAAACAAAAAACAAAAAAAATGTTATATAAATATAGGGTGACACTTTCTTATTCAAGACTGCCTCTTTGAGGTTGAACACCAAAGTTATAAATATTAAGATGAGTTTTATTGTAAGGTTACAGTAATATAATCTTTCAACTCTCACTGTGCCTCCCCCTCCCCGCCTTTCTCCTGAAGAAAACTAGGGAGGGTCCAGTCTGGGAGAGTTTTTCAAGTTACATTCCTGCTTTGGATTCAGATTTCTCTTATCTGACCATTCCTTGGCTGTGGCTGCTGCTTCTCCTCAAGGTTATTTTTGCAGCTCATTACGACTAGTGTGCAATCTTGGAGACAGTAGATTGCTTTGGACTCAAAGCTCCTGTCTGAAGAACACGTGGCCACTGTGGCCAAGAAGCCCTTTGAAAAGACCCCTGTAAGGTGCTTTTTTCAAGAGGCAACTGGACTTTCTGGTTTTTCTTTGAAGATGTCTCGCTTCTCATCTGAAGAAGCTTCTTGGATGAGAAGCAAAAGATCTTCAAAGAAAAACCAGAAAGTCCAGTTGCCTCTTGAAAAAGCACCATGACCTCCATTTAATCAGCCAGTGGCATTTATTCCTGGATCAGGAGGCAGCCCATGGCACCTCACAACTGGAGTGCAGCTATGCAGTTGACATGCAGCTGCTCTTGAAGACCCTTGGAGGCTACCACTGGTTCAGAAGGCGTTAGTGCAGGCAATAATGGGAAGTGCCATAATCAGGCCGTGTGACACCACTGTTCAATGAGCTCCATTGCTTATCAGTTAGCTTCCAAGTACGGGAAGTCCTCAACTTATGACCACAATTCAGCTCAAAATTTCTGTTAGTTGAGACGACTGTTAAGTGAATTTTGCCCAATTTTACGACCTTTCTTAGCTCAGTTGCTAAGTGAATCACTGCAGTTGGTAAGATAGTAACCTGGTTGTTAAGTGAATCTGGCTTCCCCATTGACTTTGCAGAAGGTCACAAAAGGGGATCGTGTGATTTTGGGACAATGTGACTGTCATAAATATGAATCCGTTGCCAAGCATCTGAGTTTTGATCACGTGATCGTGGGGATGCTGCAAAGGTCATAACTGAGAAAAATGGTCTTAAGTCACTCTTCGGTGCCATTGTAACTTTGAGCAGTCACTAAATGAACTGTTGTAAGTTAAGGGCTATCTGTATAATTCAAGAGGCTGGTTACCATCCCAAAAGCCTTTTGTAGCATTGGATGTAGTCATTTGAGGAACCAGCTATCTAATCATTTCTGCTCCCTTGGTAAGATTGGTCCCTCTGATTCCACAATGCCCTCGGCCAAGATCCAGGAAGCATGTTTTTCCTATCACAGTTCCAGTTCTCTGGATTAAGATCCCCACAGAAATCCACGGGGCTTCCCCCTGGATGTTCAGAAACCCTTTGAAAACCTTGCTCTTCTCCCAGGCCTTGGGGTAGGACAGCGGTTGAGCCCCACGGGACAGCCATGACCTGGATCAGGGTCTCCAAATTTGGCAACGTTAAGACTTGTTGACTTCAGCTCCCAGAATTTCTCAGCCACCATAGGAATTCTGGCAGTTGATCTCCACAGACAATGTTTTGTCTCCATGCAATGTTTTGACTGTAGCTATGGTCTCTTCTCATAAAGAAATGAGAGGAAATCAACCCAGTTTCATATATGAAGAAAAGAGGATGGTTGATGCTTCTATATGTGCAATGAAAAGCAGGGGGAACATGTGAATAAGGATTGTAGACACCAGTGGACTTTATTTATTTAGCGTATGGCACATGTTAACCAGGGATCACCAAGGTGACTGGCTGCCTCTGTGAAAGGGATTTTTTGGGCGGTGTTATCTTTGCCCACGGGACTCCTGAATACCGGTTGGCATTCAGGGGAGGCCTCTTTCTTGTTCCTGCGCAGTTTATTCGCTCATAGGAATTGAGCCGCCGAGCTGCTGACCTCAACGGTGCACAGACCCAGTGTCTTACCATGTGAGCTATCGCAGCAGACTTAAAATTGGTGTCTGCCTTCATTCGTCTTGTCCTCCAGTTATCTTGTCCTTGGAATGCTCACTTTGATTTTCCTCTCTTGGAGAATCTCTGGCTAGCGTACCTTTTTTGCTTTGGATAAGGGAATATAGTGTCTTCTTTCTCTTAAACGGGGATAGGCAACCTTGTTTGCTAAAATTATTACGCTTCCAAGGGAATTTACAAGGGGCGTCTAATGACCTATTTGCAGACTGGGTGGGATTGGACTTAACAATTCTTCCTTGTATCTTTTCTTCTTAACTACTTGGTGCACTGACACATCTGTCTTAATGCCTGCTGTTTTTAAAAAAGAAAACTAAATATCCTCTATTGCTGGACATTAGTGATTTGCAGAGTGATTTTCAGGCATTGTGGGTTGTGGCCACAAATTGGCTAGGGTGTGGTGGCACAGAATGCAGTATTGCAGGCTAATTCTGCCCACTGTCAGGAGTTTGATCCTGACCAGCTGAAGGTTGACTCAGCCTTCTATCCTTCTGAGGTCGGTAAAATGAGGACCCAGATTGTTGAGGGGAATAAGTTGACTCTGTAAACCATTTAGAGGGCTGTAAAGCACTGTGAAGCGGTATATATGTCTAGTGCTATTGCTGTGTGATCTGTTGCCAAAGGCTGCTCACCGCAACTGTAAGCTAAAAAATGGATTTATCGCTGCTTTTCTTGTCTTCATGTTTCTTAAGATGATGCATCTGTTGTTACATTTAAAGAGTAGAAGAAAAATGATTGTGCCAAAATATTTCCACTTTCCAATGTGTTTGTTGTGTGCTTTACAGTTTGGGTAAATTCAATTTTCAGTTGTTTTAAGATCACGCAAGAGAAAATTTAAAACAATACCTTGGGATCTTCTTTTCCTTTTCTTTTCAAAAGCTAGTTGTCAGCATGAGAAGAAACAAATGCATTCCAGTTCTTTGGCTGATTTTATACAAAATCTTAACTTTAGATGCATAGAAAATGCAAATTTAAGGTTGACATGATCTATATTTAAGCAAATATGTTGTATTAGGACAATGTGATGTGTTGGTTCACAAAAATGATTGAGATTGTTTTGGTTCGGGATTTTCACAACACAATCACAATTTAGCTTTTCCTAATTTTGCATAGTCGGCATCTTAGATCAGTGTTTTTCCAACTTGGCAACTTTAAGATGCATGGACTTCAACTTCCTGAATTCTCCCGGCTGAGGAATTCTGGGAAGTCCACACTTCTTAAAAGTTGTCAAGTTTGAAAAATGTTTTCAGTGACCATCAACCAACGGAGAGGACTGATACTAAATCCCACCCTCTAGCTTTATTGTTGTCAGCTTTTACTGTGTTAGAACTGTGAGGGCCTTAAAGATTGGGTTAGGGAATTGCGTGTTCTCTTATTTCTTCTTTTTTATGAGCTCAGTGAAAACTTGATTTATTCCCTTTTTTGCCTGACAATTTCTAGCTTCTTTTTAAAACAAAGGATTTTATATCTGTGGATAGTATTAAAATGTGCCATGTTATAGGAAAATGACAACTGGGGGGAAAAACCTGCCTTTTAAAGAGTGGCAGAATGTTTTACTGAATCATACTTGGGGCTGTCCTTAAATGTAGGTATGAATTTGTATTCTTGATAAAAATGTTTAGAAGAAGAAAAAAGCAGATATTGATTGAATAATGAAGTGGGACGCATTCCCTTTGTCATGTAATGACTGTGAAATCACTAATACAGGTAGTCCTCGACTTACAACTGTAACTAAGCCCAGAATTATAGTCATAAGTCATTGCAGTCATAAATTGAGGCATCATGTGACCAGATCCAATTTTTTTTACATTTTTTGTAGCAGTTGTTAAGCAAATCCATTTTCCCCAATGGGTGAAATCAGCAAATCGTGGTCACATGACTGCAAATGGCTGTCAAGGTGAGATGGCTGCAGAGTGCCAAAAATGCAGTCATGGGATCATGCACAATAGGATGGATGTAGCCATTGTAAGTTTAAAAACAGGTTGTAAGTAAGGGGAAGACTGTTGTAACTTTGAACGGTCATTAAGTGACCAGTCATAAGTCAAGGACTACCTGTATATCTCCTTTTTGATTGTAAATACACAAATCAAGTAAACCTGAAGGAGTCTGTAATCTACATAGGCACATAAGGACATCATCTATATCTTGAAACTTTTCAGTCTTTACATATTTTTTATTGTATATTGCAAATAGTTGGATATTCAAAGAACGATAGTTAGGTATGGATTTTACAAAACTAGACAGAGAAAAATTAATACTTATTTGGAGGGGCAGAATTGATCCCATGCTCCACTTTGAGAACTGTTTGAGACTCAGTAGTGAACAGAGAAGTTCATAGCTCATATTTTGCTGGATATTTTGTCCTACTCTAGAGAAGGAGCTGAATTTTCCATTGATCCATTTCTGGTGCTTCTTTTCCTATACACAGGCAGCTAATTATGGTCACACTGTATATACATGAGTTGAGCTAGATCAGGAAAATGATGATATAAAGCAGTGTTTCTCAAGCTTGGCAACTTGAAGGTGTGTGGATTTCAACTCCCAGAATTCTCCAGCCAGCATGGCTGGGGAATTCTGCGAGTTGAAGTCCACTCAAATTGCCAAAGTTGAGAAACACTGATATAGAGAAAACTTCTATAAGCAATCTTTTCTCAAACAACTTTCTACCATCCTAAGAGATCTAAAATCTGGTGCTGATCAACATGGTGAAATAATCTCACTGACTGTCGTAGAATTTTGAAATTGTTCATGCTGAAATTGCAAAGTATATATAATCACTGCCAAATGTAAACTTGTCTCATGCAGTTGGATTTAATGTAAATGAAACTTCTCTTATTTCTCACTCTGTCTTTCGATTGTTCCACAATTTGTTTTGGTTTGGGTTTCATGAATGTTTTTTTAAAAAATCTTCATCGGACTGTTCTTTCATGGTTTTCAAGATACTTTGCAATGAATGTCCTTGCTAAAGGCTAATGAATAAATTTGAGGCTTTTTTTTTTTTTAAAAAAAGAGGTTTCTTTCATTGCTGACTTAGGAATGTTCTTTAAAAATATATATGGTAACAGTGAAAAAGCCTTTGATGATATTGTATTTATAAGTTCCACCAAAAATTACATCTGGGAATTAAGCCAAAATGCATTTAAAATGCAGGTGAAATGCTTGAAGGCATGTCTCATCTGTAAGCATGTCTCACAATGTTAAGGTTCATATCTGTTGTAATGACGAGGCAGTCGAGTTGTTTGATCATGAACAACTGAATTATGATGATGATCTTTATTGGAGTATAGTCTTGCATTTATATACATTTTTAGTTATCCTCCATCATTGGTTAACTTTGGTTACTGCTTAACTTTCGTTACTGTTTAGTACAGTAATCCATACAATTAATTATCTCTAGTTAAAGTCTTAACATATGTCTACTTCCCCTCTCTAATCCTCCTTTATCCATAGATTAGTGATTTTGTTTGCCTGAGTTGTATTTGCTTGGAAACATTCTTTATCTGAGGTTTGCCATCCAAGATTGGAACATTCCTGCAATTACAACTCTACATATCCTCGTTTTTTATTTTAAATGGAGGATTCAAAGATTTATAAATGTATCGCAATTGTAGAGGGTTAAGAGAGGGGGAAGTGGGACAAAACAATGCGAATAAATTTGGAATACATTGAATAAAACAACAGGTTGCAATTAGTACAATAATAATTGTAATAATAGCATAAAAGAAAAACTGTCTGAGCCAAGACCAATCAGGGAGCCAATTGGTTAGCCACTCAAAAGGTGAGTAATGAGCATGGATGTTATTTTGAATGTATGATTGTAAATTGGCAAGCTCATCCTCAATAGTTTTATTCAAAGAATGAAAATGCACAGCACATCCACGGCGTCCAACTAACGTACCGAACCCTCCCTGACGGGCTAAAAGATAGTCTATGGCAAAACGCTGCTGTAAGACATCTTGATTTAAGTCTTCTATTTCATGCTGCAAATCACGAATAATAGCAGCGGTAGCATTGATGGGTTTTTCAAGTCTGCAGGTGAGACTAAGAATAGATCGTCTGTTTTCTTGAGCAATTATGCCAGGATAAGAGCCTAGAGTAAGGACTCCTGTAACGGCCCCTGCCAATGCACGGCCAAATGTAGACCCAGAAGACAATTGTGTGTCAATAATGACTTCATCATTACATGTAGGCCCCAGAGAGGAACGCCGCTGTCGAGTTGATGGGAGCGTACCTACTTGAACAGGTAGAGTAAAATAACCTATAGTTGCACATTGATAATTCTGAGGGTGAACATTAGTAGCATATTTATCAAAAAAGAACCACATATTAGGATCCTTAAGCTGCCAACCAGCGCATATCGATCCTGTATTAGATTGATCAGAGGCATTAAAAATAGGAAAATTGTCAGGATACATATCAGGAGCTATATTAATTCCATGCAAAGAAGAATTAAAGGTACCTGACAACCAATAGTAGTCAGAACAATAACTATAATTCCCTAGCTTTTTAAATATGTGCTGAGCAGCATCATAATCAGACCAATTATGAAGCCAAGTGTGTTTAGCGTGACAACAGAAACACAGACCCCTTGTAAATTGACTAACTTTCAAGTAACGCCAACGGACAGAATTCAATTGCATATAGGGGGTGTAGAAAATAGCCAGGGGTGTGAAATAAATTGTAGTTGTGACACAATAAATGTAGAAGACATGATCAAGTTAGGGGTAAAAGAAATTTGACCAAATGCCATTGGGGGCTCATAGTATAAAGTAATATTTGTGCCATGGGTCATAAACATGTATTGGGCATGACGAACCCACAAATTAGGGTTAAGACGAACCACAGAAGTGTCATTTTGAGCAGAAACACCATTAACCATAAACAAGAAAATACAAAGTAAAATGGTAACAGAGTTAGCAGTAATAATAGCAAAAACAGCAGCAACAAGATTTTCAGGAGTCTGAGGTAATGAGGCCTGTTGCAGTTGTTGAGCTTGATATATAGTAGATTTAACCTGGCCCCAAGTGATGGGTTGCGGGCGCGTCAACCTTGGAAGATGGACTTCCGTGTTCAGATGAAGATTGAAATCCGGAATCGGGTTGTGAAGGCCCTGGTGCCATGCCATTATACGGATGAACACAGCGCACTGGAATCCACACTGCTTGTCGAGTAGAAGGATCTTCCACGGCGGCGTAACCGCGACCCCAGGTGATCAGCGGTGTAGGGCCTTTCCAGGTTGGATCTGGAGCTTGGTGATACTTTACCAAAGGCCTTGCTAAAGATTCAGTAGTTCGAAAATGCAAATTAACAGGTGAGTCTGCAAGAGAATCTAAAAAGGTTAAATAATTCCAAGTATATAATGCTACAGCAATGAGATTTTGAATCTTTCGCAGATGGTAAGGGCCAGACTCAGTTTGTAATTGTTTCTGAAGCAATGCCTTAAAAGTACAATGAGCTCGCTCAACTACAGCTTGACCCTGAGAGTTGTAAGGAATTCCGTGCACTAAAGTAATATTCCATTTCTGACAAAAGGTTTGAAATTCCTTACTAATATAAGTGGGGCAATTGTCAGTTTTAAACTGAGAAGGCCGACCCATTACAGCAAAAGAGGATAGGCAATGAGAAATAACATCTGAAGTAAGTTCATGTTTTGAAGCAGTAACCCAAAGGAAGTGTGAATGAGTGTCAATAGACGTATGAAGATAACAGTATGGCTTAAAGGTTGAAAATTGAGTTACATCCATTTGCCAAATTTGATTAGCTTGAGTTCCTCGTGGGTTGACACCTACTGGAAAGGGAACTGCCAGTTGCTGACAAGCTGGACAAGCACGGACAATATCCCGGACTTGAGATAATGAAATTTTAAATTGCTTTGCAAGCGATTTGGCATTTTGATGAAAATAAGAATGACTAGCAACAGTATCAGCAAACAAAGACGCAACATCCTTTAAGGATTCATCTGCCTTCCGATTTCCTTCAGTCAAGGCATTAGTAAAGGGAGTATGACTTCGAATGTGTTCTACATACAAAGAATACAAGCGAGTTTCCAAACTATTCTTTAAAGATAAAAACAAGGATAACAAATTCTTATCCAAAGAGAGAGCACAATAAGAAAAGGGAAGAGATTGCATAGCTAAATACACATATTGAGTATCAACGATCAAGTTAATAGGTTGGTCATTGAACAATCGTAAAGCCAAAATCACAGCAGCCAGCTCAGCACGTTGAGCTGAAGTCTGCGTGGCAGTAAATTTAGAATACCATTGTTGAATCTGCCAGACAACCACACCCCTTGTAGGTGATCCATCAGTAAAGACTATAAGAGCTTTAGAAATAGGATTTCGCACAAAAATGGAAGAAAAGGCCGGATTTAAAGTAGTAGTAACCACTATTCTAGGATCCTTGGGTAAAGAATACAACATATTGAGAAAAGGCTATCTGATATGATTCTGAAATCATCATCAAATGCTCATGTTCAACTTTTGTACGAGTGAAAGCTATGCTAATGAGATCCTGTCCTGTAAGATGTAAGGCTCGTTTACGACCTTTAATAATCAAATCCTCTAATGCTGATTGATAAGGATAAATGTTTCTAGGCGGAGTAGCTGACAAATTAATCCATTCATGAATGTTGACTGCTTGCGGGGACGCATTAGAATAAAGACATCTCGTGGGTAAGGGTGTAGTGGGAAGAATAGCTAAGCAAAGTCCCATTGTTAAGGATGTTATCCTGTCCACATATCGATGCTTAAACTTATTCAATATTTCTTGAAGGCATGTTCTTTGAGGATTAATTAATACAACTAGATCTCCTGGTGATTGTGTTCCCTTCAAAGACTGAAATAAGGGCAACATATCACCAGTTGTAATGTAGAAGAATGGGCGTGCCCAATTAATAATGCTAAGTAATTTTTGCCATTGTACTAATGTATATGATTTCTGTACTTGTAATTCAGGAAGAATTGGAATGGAGGAATTGTGCAACATTCTATGTTTCCCATTTTTCTTTTTTATAACAAAAACAGGAGTATTCCAAGGACTAGTAGAAGGTTCTATATGACCAGCAGCCAATTGTTCTTGAACCAATTGTTGTAAAGCAGCAAGTTTTTCCCTTGATAATGGTCATTGTTCCACCCAAACCGGCGTAGAACAGAGCCATTTAAGAGGAAGAGCCATCATCAAGAATCAAATGGGCATTAAGAAGAGAAAGGATATCATGGCCCCAAATATTAGTATGAATATCTAGAATGTATGGTTGTAGGAAAAAGGACTTACCAGCAGATGTTGTAACATTAATTTCTTGAACACTCTGCCAAGCAGCTGTAGAACCTCCTATTCCCCACAATGAAGAAACTGTCATTTTTGGCCACCGTACTGGCCACTGTAAAGAGGAGATGACAGTAACATCGGCTCCAGTATCCAATACCCCTTGAAATGGTTGTTTATTAAGGAAGAGCGTTAACAAAGGACGAGAGGAGTTCAGCTGATGAAGTAAGCCTACAGATAAAGAAGTTGATCCAAATCCTGCATCCCCACAATTACCTATACCAGGAGATGGAATTTCATATGGAAGAAGAAGCAATTGAGCAACAGAAGAATTACAAGGAAGAACTTGAGGAAGATTCACCCAAATCTGAATCATGAGGATACCAGTGTAATCTGAATCTATTACCCCAGGCACAACAAAACAGCCCTTTTTGTGTGCAGAAGAATGAGGCAAAATTAAGCCAACTAATCCCGAAGGAAGAGGACCTTTAAATTGAGATGGAACTATTTTAACTTCCATGGGAAATTTAAACTCAATTTCCTCTTGAGTGATTAAATCGATCCCAGCGCTACTGGCTGTGGCTGGGGAGGAGTGAGAGAGACTGCTGGAGGAGTCAGAGTGATGGGAAAGGC